ATTGAGGATGTAATTATATTATTTATTATTATTATTTTATTTTTTTCGAAGTTGAAAAAATGTTTCATTGTCATATTTTGTCATGCTTTGTGTGTTCTACATTATGTGTCCACCCCGTCATGTGCTGGTCCACCCTGTCATCTTGATATTTTACAATATTTTAAATAATAATTAAATCATATCTATATACTCCAGTGTGTTCAATAGCTAGGTGTGGGGGCAATAACATGCAAACACTACACAATTATTATTATTATTAATATTTTTACTTTCCAATTATTTGACTGTATTAATAAGTGGGCCTTCCATAACAGAATGGAGTTTAGAGGATACTTTTTGAATAGAAAGCCAAGGTTCAAGGTCAAGTATGGATGATTTATTTTTCAAATGTATATTTAATTAATATACTAATTATTATCAATAGTTAATAATTAATAGTTAAATTATTATTATTATATTATACTGTTATTGTAAACAAATTTAAATTACCTACTGGCAAGATTTAATGCTGATTTCCTGCAACAGTAATTTGAAGCAATGCTTACATTTTTTTCTTTAATCTTTTTAAGCCATTTGGCTGTTGGTTAACATTATTTTCATTGGAGAAAGTTATTACATTTTGATGAAAAACTTTTTTTTTCTTTAGAACATGTACTGCTGAGGAGTGCACAAAAAAGCCAAGAACACGGGTAAAGAAAGAAAAAAATAGAGTCAATTTTTAATTCAAGTTTGCTTTAACCATTGGACTGAAATGGACTGATAACACACACTCACAGCATGTGAATGTAACAGGATAAAAGATTTTCATTTGATGCGAAATTAATTACATACCCATGTCACACATGCACAGTGCCCTGAACATTTCAATGCAACACAGTTCAAAAGCAAGCAAGAAAAAAATCTTTTCATCTAAATATACACCCTGTGTGCTCTCTCTCTCCCCCTCGTTCTTGTGTAGAATTAGAGCAGCAATCTCCTGTAGGCAGAGCATAAATCTGTGTTGTGCTTATTGATGTAATTAATCAAAAAGAGCTTTGCATTGACTCCTAATTTGATATATCATCTAGGAACAAGACACAGAACTGGACGGCGTCCAAGACGTTGGCTTTTTCTCTGCCCGCTGCAATGTCTGTCTCTCTCTACCCTGTCCCTTTCTCATTCAGTCACTGTCTTGCTCTATCACCCCGCTCTCTATCTCTCTCTCACGGTACCTCTATTTATCTGTCTCTTTCTAATAATACACCTTTACCCCTCTCAGTGTGTCAGATCCTGCCAAAGGGAGTGGTCTCTGTCATTGGTCCTGCCTCTAGTCCTGCTTCCGGATCCACCGTCAGTCATATATGTGGGGAAAAAGAGGTGAGAATGAAAGGAGGTGCGTTTGCATATGTGTCTGTGAGAGCATTTCTTGAAATGATAAATTTACACTGCTCCTCAGCCAGGGGACATTATTTCCTGTGTGCCTTTGCTTTGCTGCTTGAAAAGAATCTCCCCCTCTGACCTAATTTCCCATATTTTCTCTCTCTTCTCCTTCCTTACGGTGAGAGATACTGTAGAGTGATATATCAGCCAGGATGATTAATTGGCCGATATCTGGTCATTTTGGTGCCCACTCAGGCAATTAACAATTTAATATTGCATAAAATGAATGTGCATTTCATTTTAGTCATTTTGTGTACACCTAATTTACTGTTATTAAATTGCATTATATTTATACAGTGTGGTCAGCACTTTTAATCTCAATTTTTCAATATAATTGAAACCTGGAAATGACGAAAAAATGACAATCGTCCAACGATCTGACTATCAGTCATTCTGTCCTTCTTCTGTCTGTAAGGCCTATAAATCCTTCAGGCCTCAAGACTTTTTAAACTATTTGTTAAACTTTTAAACAAGTATTTAAGCAAACATTTGAAGTCTAAATTCTAGCCAAACTTTGATTTTATAGTAAAAATTGCAGTTATATGAAATGCTTAGAATTTTAATTCTACTTCTTTTAATTTAAATTGCAACATTCAACATTCTGTCTGGTACCTCAATTCACTTCGAATTTAAAAGACTTTTTAAGTTCAGTGCTGAATTTAACTTCTGAATTGAAAATCTGAATCTTCACACAGCCCTATTGTCACTGTTCACATTTTATCTCGCTGTCTTCTCACCATTATACAGTGGGGCAAAAAAGTATTTAGTCAGCCACCAATTGTGCAAGTTCTCCCACTTAAAAAGATGAGAGAGGCCTGTAATTTTCATCATAGACAATGGTTTACTGAACAAATTGCTTTTTCTTTAAATAAATTCCATTAAAATAAAAATTTTCTTAGGGATAAAAATATACTTCTGCTCTAAACTATAGGGAGCCCTTTTACATTAAGGTTACAATTAACAACAGAGCCCAAACTTAAATTCAATTACTATTTATTTTTTTTAATTTGTATGCAAACATGTAAATTGCACATAATGTAGTTTTTAAATTAATATTTAAATTATACAATTTCTATTTGTTGTTGAAATATAATAATTTACACAGTGGCTGTCATAACTTGTTTCATAACAGATTTATTTATTAAATGTACATTAGGCCTAAATAATTAAGACATCACTAACAGGTAAAGTAAAATATAATGTGTAAATAGTCTAATATTTTGCAAAATGCTCTTCCCTAGACTTAATTTCTCTAGCGAACTCATGAGCTGAGGACACTGATGACATGCCTGAGGTAAATGAAATGCTATGTGACATTCTGTTTACAAGTTGTTTTATTGACATCTTTCCATGGTTGAAACAGTAACTGAGCAATTACATATGAGGCATGAGACGTTCATTCATGTTTATTTCACGTTAAAACTAGTAGCAAAGACCGCACTGCCATTTGAACTGAAGCGTTTATACAGCGATCTGTCGCGCTACATCAAATAGCGTCAAAACGCCATTTATTGTTTGAATTTCCTGAAAACAATTTAATGATTTGTTCGGTACATATGCATGCTGAACGAAGCGTTTTCGGTACGAATACATGTACCGTTACTCCCCAAATTTGCACCCAGCTCAAACATTGCACCCTGGAGGTGGTGGCCTGCATCATGAAGATAATGCACCAATACGCACAGCAAAACTGGCGACAGTGGTTTGATGAACATGACAGTGACTCTGAACATCTCCCATTGGCCTGCATAGTCATCAGATATGAATTTTATTGAGTCACTGTGGGGTGTTATAGAGGAGTAAGTCAGAAAGTGTTTTCCTCCACCAGCACCTGGCCAATGTTCTGCAAGAGAAATGACTCTTGCCAGGTGTTTCAATTTCATCGTCTTATTACAAATATACTAATAGTAGGCTTTTTGTCTTAATTCAATCTGAAAAAACGTTAAAAGTTTTAAAATTAAACATTTTAAATTATTACTATAAAAACCTTTATTTTGGGAGCAAACCAAATCATTACTCAAAATGCTCTTCTCTAGACTTTATTTCTCTAGCAAATAATGAGCTGTAGACACTGATGACTTGCCTGAGGTAAATGAAAGAGTGCCAAAACGGCATGTCCAAAACGGAATTTCCTGAAAAAATGGAATGATTTGTTTGGTACACATACGTACCGAACCGAAAGACCCGTACCGAAAATTTTCAGTGCGAATACATGTACCGTTACACCCCTAATATATATATATATATATATATATATACACACAGGTGC